TTTGAAAATAACTGGGTATGATAATTATAGTGTTTTCACTGATATCAAAAAATGTCACGAAACACCCGATGTCACACCTCCGTGTTTCATTTATACTAATCATTATGCTGGGACAGAATTTTTCAATCAGTAAAATTTTATTCATCAATCACATGTGCGTCACAATTAATTTCAGCCGAACGTCATAATGCCTGCCATTATTTTGATGGGAACGCAGAACCAGAAAGAAATAACTGTGCCTTTTTTATTTTGCTTTTTGAAAATTCTGAGATATGGATTGTAATTGATTCCAAATCTATCGAAGATCGAATAAAAAAATCGAATCTTATTTTTAACGACGCAATGCTGCAAGTTCGGCGGCAATAATAAAAATTAATTTCTTTTGAAACATTAAATCATTATAGCCTGAAAAGTTAAGATATTTTGATCGCTGCGACCAGTGTTGGCAACTTTATCATTCCAATTGCTTGAATTGGACAATTGGAAATATAAATTTTATGTCCAATTCAAAATTTTTCGCAGTTTTATTAAGTTCAATTGGTCCAATTTCCAACACTGCGACTGATTAAAATTTTTTTTTAAAAAAAGATGAAATGTAAAATATAAAAATAGCTTTTTTTTTTAGATGATCATCGAACTTAACGTGATTTGAATCCACATTCAAGCCAATTTATTAAGTATTTTACTTTTACTTGTAATTTCTGATTAACCGATTAAGGGATTATATTTATATGTAATATTTTTTTTTTTTTTTGATCTTTCCGTACCGGCATAGTTTCTGAGTCCATGTATTGTACCTGACTTTAATTAAGTATATTCTTTTCATTTATAATAGCCTTGGCTGCGGCAATATTGAAAATAAGGTTTATTGGATGGTTATTTTAATTAATAAAAATTCTTTTTAGTTCTTTATGTATTAAAACAAGATTTTATTAGAAATTAGATATCGTATTTATTGACCCATGACTCGCATATAACCCGTTAGAATATAACTTACAAAGATTTAAGTACTCTTTAATATAAAAATTATCCCAAATCAATTTGGTTGAATGTATTACATAATTGTCGGATAAATAAAAAAGAAAAGAAAAATATTATGGGTGTAGTTATGTTTGTATGATTTTTTATTCATTTATTTACTGTAACTAGAAATTGCGGATAGAGGGGACTTCTGCCCCACGCAACTTATCGATCTATCTCATTCATTACAATGTGGTTTACAAGTATATTTTATTATAAATGTAAAAGAACATTAACGTAACAACAAATACTTATGTCAAATTGTACATAATTATATATTTATATATCCATTTTTTGCTGACCCGAATAAAAAATTTTATACTTATTTCAGCTACAAGATGCTTCTAATAATCAGTAATATGCTATACTTTATTAATTATAGAAAATAAAGTTACTCATTTAAAAAAAATTTTAAAATATAATAAATAAAAGTTAAATTTAAAATGCTATCAGTTAATCACTTTTTTTTCTATAAATATAACACATTATAATAAAACAATTTATTTCCCAATTTATATGTGCCGAAGCCCTCCGGAATTCTGGATTTGAATGATAAATATAATTTTTTCATTATAAAATATTAAAGAAATTAATATTTTATTTACCTCCTTGTAGGATGCTGAAGCCCTCCGGAATCCTGGAATTTGGATTGAAAGAATCAGAGGTTAGTTATCTTTTTTTTTCTTTTTAAAAATATTAAAAATGTAATTAATATTTTATTACCTCTCTTTGTAATTGCCGAAAGTCTACTCCAGAATCCTGGATTAAATAATAATAAATCGAAGATTGATATTTTATTTTTTCTTTTTAAATAAAAATTTAATCCTTTCTTTTGTAAATAAGCTGCACTGATTTACCTTGTCCCCTTTGTGTAAAGATTTATATTCTTAGTCGACAATATACAGTCCAGTTTTCTTCGTAAATAAACATTATTTGAAAGAAATTTGAATGTAATAATATTGGTTAAAAATATATCTTTTGGCGATATGAAAGATTTCGAAAAGAAACCAGCCAGCATAATAATATTTAGAGTAATTAAAGAGCAAATAATACTGTATTTCAGCATATCATGATGAAATTTAAATAATTATTAGTAGTAATAAAAAAAAATTTGAGTTAATACGTGCCTAATTGACATCTTGCCTCGGATCTCATTCGTTGCAACTATATCTCAAATTGAAACTCGTCATCAAATAGTCACTCAATATTTTGTATGATGGGAGTCGTACCTGGATCATATAAATTTATACATCTCAAGAACTAACCACAACGACAATACTCATAAGAATTAATTTTTGAATCCTTTAAATTGCGTGATTAAATAATGAATGATGAATTTTTTTATTTTATTGTGTTTTTAAACATTTTCAACCAAGTTAAATATAATAAAAAAAAATAAAAAAATATTTTTAATATTTTAATTAGTACTGATGTGTTGTATACTGAGCGTATTTGTTCCTCTCCTTCACATTGCTCATGCGGAAAAAAGATAATTGGTAAATTTTGTTCAGGCTTGAATTTATGAAAAGTCAGGAAATATTTACGCGTCATTACAGCGAATAAAAATCACATGATATAAATTTCTGATATCCCGGTCCAGAAAAATGTTAAAAAATTTGGATACTGCTGAAAGGCTACATCTGCTCAAATACAAAAGAATAAAAAAAATCATGTGCGATCACTTTTCACCAAATATTATATGCAATTGGTTAATCAAATCAAATAGACTATTATTTTTGCAGCATATTTTAAGAATCTAGAGTCATTATGGATCGTAATACATATAGAAAAAATTATTTTCCTATTACAAAATGAAAATTTTACCCTGAAATTAAACTAGACTCCTTTTCGAGGATTTTTGGGGTGGTTGATGTTTTCTGAAAGATTCTTAATAGTTGTTCGTAAGGCAAACTTTTTTACTTCTTTGACAACACCAAGGACGCCAATTAAATCATTCTGTAATCATCAGGAAGAAATAATTGCCAGTTTGACAATATTTAGGAACATACCTTCACACATCTTTTAAAAACAACAGACACTTCTTATTGTGATTCCAATTCGATATTGAAACGACTCAAACACAAAATAATATTGTTACAAAAGTATATTAATAATCAAATCGCGTTCTATTAGTTTTGGGGCATTGTGTGCCATTTCTGTTAATATTTAGTTAGATCAATGGCCTAATTGCTGGCCAAATTGTCTACCGGCTAATTTGTCTCCTGGCTAATATGCCATCCGGCCATTATGTTTCGAGGACAAAAAGGCCTCTGAACAATTAGTCCTTGCTGGGTTTTAAGTATGAAAGAAGCGGGATTCCGCTTGAGTAGAAAAGAAGTGTTCCATACGTTCCCTACAAAATTCAACAGATAGTATTAGTATAGCATTCACCCCTTTCCCTTATTTGTAACGAGTAACGAAAGAACATAATATGTAATAAATTACGTATCTGATCGTATAGAGCGCCGACGATTGAGGCAATACCTTATTTACGTAGATTTATGTTAGATTTCATTTGTTATTAATAAATACATTTAAAAACATTCAATAATAAACCTTCTGCTTAATTTTTCTATTGTTTATAACCAATAAACGTCACGAACTGCATGCAACAATATTATAGATCCACATCATCATACATAGCGTACATTGTTCCATTAAAATTTTTTGAATGTTAAATTGATTTTAACTAACTTTTATAGTATTAAAAAATCGTTTGATATAAGAAGATGTTCTCTAGATTTCCGTAATTACCTTTATGGGATATTCCATACGGAACAATGCGTTCCACCTATTTGATCGTTCCTTTCATGAATCTCAATTTCTTCAATAGACACTATAAAGCATCTTTCATTTCTTAAAATAGTTTGTACTTCAAAAATTATGGGGATCTTCATCAATGAATGTTTCCGCGCCATATCATAAATATGAAAAAAAAATATCAATTTGATGTCCGGATTGCTTCTTTCTGTCTCCTCTCTTGTATATTCTTGCGCAGGATCAAAACCAGAGTCATTTCTTCACAGCTGGGATTGAAATAAACAATTAGAATGGAATATAAGAAGAAAAGCAAAGAAATAACAGAAAATTCCACATTCACCGATTGAATTGGATATCTTCACAAGTTAGGAAACAAAAATCAATCAATGGTGACAATTGATCCAACCTTCGAATTTCGTCAATAAGTGGATTCAAACAAAAACAACGTAGTGGCAAAGAATGTGAGTATCAGAATATATACTGGTGCTCAAAAGTAGAGTAATACGAAGACTAGTGGCGTATAACGATGTATAATATACGTGATTTATTAAAAAACACCTGTGTATTGTATAACAAAAAATTATTGTAGAACAGTATAGTATCTTTATTATTAATAAAGATCGACCTATATTAATTTGTATTTTTAGTAACACGGAAATTTAATTTGTTGTTTAAGATTCATCCGATGCAAATTTGGTGCTAAATTTTAGCCAATCATTTTAAATGAAATTTACATAAAAATTACATCAATCGGAATTGAACACCAATATTTGTATATTAATCCGTCAAAAATCTTTTAGTGTTTGTTTTAACTAAATTAATGTCTGGTCTAACCCGAGCTTATAAGAAGGAGTGATTATACCAAAGGACAACTAAATTAGGTGATGCTTTCAAGATAAACATTTTAAATAAAACAATATAGAATTTAAAATTAAATATCCCAAATTTTTCATTGCTGCAATTTAAAATTCGAGCAATAGAAAAAACTTAGTACATTACAATTGATTGTCAACTTCAAAGCTACAATCATAAAATTAGGTCACGTATTGATGCCTCGTTTGAAATTCTAACCCAATTTTTAAGATCTCAAATTAGCGCACAACTATCAGTAAATTGATATTAAGATTATGCCGGCCAGAATTTCTAAATATATAATAATATAATATGACATTTTCAAATTATTCGTCATGAGCAATATAAAGGTTTGATTTTATAATATGTTAAACTAATTCTTCCATCTTTGCAATAAATTCTTCTTGAACCATTTTTAAGTATTTTCTTAAGCTGTCCTGGTCCAAATTAGAGGAACATTTGATTTGTAAGAGATATTGTGTCAACTATATTAAATAGAATGAGTCTAATATATTAGTTATAGAAGTTATCAATAAATGTGTTAAATTGAAACATTACTTGTAATAATATCTTTCGTCGTTGGATTATTTTATTTGAAGTCGATTTTTCTTTATTGGTATCGATAAGGTCTTTCAACTAAATATCCAAAAATGCTTGGTAAGTTTGAAAATAAACTATAATGAGATTTTATTTGCTAACCTTATGTGAAACTTCAGAAGCCTTTGTAATAACTTTTTGTGGCAAACCGACAATTTGTCCAAACTTTAAACCTAGAGCCAACAAATTTTGTTAACCTCACGGTTATTATTATGTTATCCAATTACAAATATACCGTAATGTTCATCGTCGTTTATTCCATCTTTGACTCGATATAAATATTTCATCGCTAGTAATCTATTTTCTTCTTCATTAATCTAATAAATTTATCAATCATCAAATTATATGAAAGAGTTTTAAAATTGCATTTATTGACTTACTTCAACTTCCAAATGCAAATTTACAACTTTTGGGTACACAGTTAAACTTCTTGTAAGTTCATGAAAATGTGTTGCGAAAAAAATAAAAGCCTTTCAAAGGAGTATGAACAATGGAAATCAATAATGTGAAATTAATGAATTTTTTGATATTCGTACTTTACCTTTGTTTTTAAAAGTTCTTCACAAATTGCATATGTTATACCCAATCCATCATGTGTAGACGTTCCTTTTTCAAAAAAAATTTTAAAGGTGTAAATAATAATATTCATTTAATGGACAAAGTTAAACAAAACAATATAATTAACCTCTTCCAAGTTCATCAATAATCACTAAACTATCATCAGTTACATTTTGTAAAATGTATGCTGTTTCACGCATTTCAATCACAAATGTGCTGGCATTATTTTCAATATTTTCATCGTTACAAATTCGCGTAAAGAGCTATAATTAATAAATTATTTAATAAACTTGTAAATAAAATTAAAAAGAATGAAAGAAAAATTATATACTATTTTATTTCATACCTGGTCTACAACTCTAAAGGATGCATATTCTGCAGGCACACTAAAGATTTATTAAAAAATGTAAATTGCTTTACGTTTGTAATTAAATAAATATATATTTATATATAGAATATTACTATGATCCTATTTGAGACATAATACTCATTAAGGCAATTTGTCTCAGGTAAGTGCTTTTTCCACTCATGTTCGGTCCGGTGATTAATTGAAAACTTGTGGCATTGCTTGCATAAGTATCATTAGGTACAAACGTGTCATTATCTAAACTTTCTCGCATTGGATGTCTCCCAGCTTTTATGGCCAAAGTATCCGTGAATTCTGGTCGAACTAATTATTACTCGTTAAATGATTGCATAATTCGTCTAAACTTTAACCAAGAATATATAATAAATTTACCATAGTTTGACACAGTGCATTGATGTACAAATGAAATTAGCATATCCAACATCGCAATGGATTCCGAAGCCTTGTATAGTACACCAATACCACCGCGAATTTCTGAAATCAAATCCTCAATTGTTCTAAAAAAATTGTTAAGCCGTAGGTCCTAAAAACATATTTCTCTTAAAGAAGAGGTAATATAGAATAACATACTTGTCAGACATCAAATATACTTCAGTTAACGAATCATTGATCTTGGTATTTATTTTCACGATTGCCAATGTCGTAAAGGTCAGACTCTTTCTTTTCTTTTTCGTGTTTATAAATATAAGTGGAAGTTGTCTGTCTTCTAATTGATCAATATTGATTGACAAATAAAACCCAGTCGCTGAACTGAATTGCGTCTTAATAGACATTTGATATTGTTCTAAAATACTTAATAAGATAAATAATCTGATAACCATTAAATAATTGAAAAGTCATTATACTACCACAATAGGAATTTATCAGGACTTTTAAATCATCAACTACTTCTTTGTAAGTTTGTCTAGCAACATCCAACAAACCATTAAACCCCGCCTGATCATGTTAACAAAAAAATTTAATGCTCAATTCTCTCTGTTTTTATCATATATAAATTATTTATTTGACTACCTTGACAGCATAACATCGCTGATTTCTAAGTGCAAGTGGTGATTTCACATACGTAACATCTTCATTAATAACTTCATTAATACGTTCTTCAAAAGCATCCAGCCGTGAATCCGTAAGAAGCTAATAATAAATTTATAAATAATTTTAACATGAACTAAATGTTTCTGGAGATAGAAAAAACTTATAAATTTTACCGCACAAATCGCATCCAATAATGAATTCTGAATACCGGTAAATGATTCTTTTAGCAATTGAATTGATCTCAATGTATATTTTAGTAAAATCACATTATTAATGCTTTGTTCTGCATATTTAATCGAAGGCTTCTTTGGAACTTGAATCAACTGAATAAAGAAAATATATGAATTTTATGATTATATATGATATGTTGCACGCAAAGACACTATATTACCGCAGTAATTAAATGATCTATATCCTGAAATGGCCTAAGAGCTATTACATCTCGTAAAAATCATTAATTTTGAAATTATACACTTTCAAGATTATAATTCAATTATCTCTTACCAGTTTGAATAGCAAAGAAAGTATCCTATAATAAGGAAGAAAATTTCTGTATATTAATTATCCTGAATGATTATTAAGCGAGAAATGTTATATCACATGCCTCGTGACATATAAGCTCTACACAAAACAACTTTAGTTTAGCATTAGAAGTATGAATTTTCTACAAAAAATGTTCATGCAACGGAAATAAAAAAAAACCTTCAACAGCATCCAATCGCATATTTATCGTAACTATATCTAAATGGATAAATAAATAAGTACTTGAAATTTTCAATAATATTATCAATTAAAATTACTAACCGCTCAAAGGTTGCAGAATATTTGCTCTTAATAAACGGGCTAAACGTAAAATGACCAAATTCGTCAATAAATATAATAAATGGACCGCAGAAATGATTTATCATTTGTATTATATACTTGCCTCCCATGGGCGTACACGTGCAATTTAGCACACCTGAAAAAGATGGAAAATATCAATTATAGATTCCTGTTGGTCACATAGTACATAGTAGTAAATTTTATACCGAAAAGTGAATGATTGCTTCGAGGATTGTTTATGTTTTTTATCAACTCAAGGTTACGTGAAGTCATACAATCTAAATAACATAAATTGAGTTTGCTAAAATAACGACGAACATACTATATCATTCATATGATTTGATACCTATCATCATTGTTCCTATAATCAATAACGTTAGTAATGTTCAGAATTCAAATATATACCGTTACATATATACTTTACCTTCGCACCCTTGATACTTGAATTTGATAGAATGACAAGTAAAGATAATATTCTGGGCAGATTCAATATACCTAAATAAATAAAATAAAAAAATCAATAGTAAAAATTGTGTGAAAATTCTTTACATTAAAATTTTAAATTCTTACTTAAATATTGCAGCGGTTGCCGCCAAACAATAAAATCTAATTAATAATTATATATATGTTTCATTGTTAATCCTTGTAAAGAAAAAAAGAGATGGAATGAAATCAAATATTAAAAATGGAACTAATGAATAGATACTTTGATGTAATGCCCAATATCAATGAAGCAGAATCATCATCTAAACCATACTAGATAAATTTCTTAATTTAATGATATTTGACGATAATTTAATAATGCAAAATGTTAATATTCATTCTACTTACTTGTTTGATGTAATTAAGTCCTATTATAGTTAAAATCGAAGAATTGATGAAATTTTAATTATTCGTATAATAAAATTTAAGAAAGAAAGCTTACCAATCGCATCATTAAAGTATTTTCTTCCAATAGATACGATGCTGGCCATTGGAACATTGTCCTCCAGAACCTTACACAACTTGGATTTGGAAGGTTCAAAAGCGGTTTGAGATAACACGATCTTCAAAAGAGATCATTGATTCATTAGGAAAGAACAATGTGAACCCCGATTTCAATATATAGTGTTGAGAAAAGTACCTCAGTCGGATCAAAAAGATTTAATTTGTGTAATGTCTTTATGTATGTTTGAGAGTCAGCGATCTAAAAAGAAGTAAAAAAGAATTAAGTTATAATACATTTTGCGTAGATTTCAGATTTCATAACAATAATACATACCTGTGATAAAATACATTCAGTTGTTCTTAGATTTATAAAACACATTCCAATTTCGCTAGCCACGCCTATTATGGTGGTTTAATCATTATATGATATTTATATATTTATATTTATCCAATAAATGGAATTTTGACGCTACCTCTACCCTCAATTATAGCAACCATGAGTGAATTATTATCGCGTCCGGCGCGTGTAGAAACAGAAGTTCTAGGTTGTCGTGTTGGTAAACTAGACGATGAAGGTTTTGTATCCTCAGATAAACTTGTTGATGTTCTATCGCAGGATTTTCTTGGATCATAAGTAGACGATCGCGAAAAAAATGTAGACATTATTTTCGGCTTTAATTTGTAGAGGAAAAAAGATTATTTTAATATATACAAATGATATTAAACTATTTAAACTATTTTAATGACAAGTCACGTTGAAAAAAGTTAAAAATTTTATACTTCGTGAATTATATTTATTAGATTATATAATAAAACTTTGATATAATAGACTTCCATGAAATTTCGGATAATAAAAATAAATTCTTGTGATGGGATATAGTTTCATCAGCGCAGTAAAAAGCGAGATACCTGGCGCAGTATCGTAAGCATCAAATTTCTGAAAAACGAAATGTTCTGAAAAATGAGACGTAACGATCTTTAACATTACATTGCAAATCTCCCGGTTTGTAATTGTTTAATTTCGGGAAGTTCTCTTTCGTAACTACAAAATCCGAAACTTTCTTATAGGGAAAATTCATTTCGGGTAGAGAAAGCGTATGGGTGAGAGTATTTTAATTATTAATAGAACAAATTAATCTTAGAAATTTATCAGAAATGTGTGAGAGCAAAGAAATATTATGATGCTGGGAAATGACCTAGGATCCGCGTACCTCTCTCTTTGACAGCAACATATATTTCACTACGTTACATTAAAATACATGTAATCAATTATGCTATTAACTCGCAAGTACTGTATATTTCTATTATTTTTTATTCAGATCTGATACTATTGATTTGTACAAGTATTTCATTGTAGACCGTGGACGTGATACAAGCGCCGGAGTGTAAATTTCTTTTAAACTTCTTCTTTTGACAATGATTATGTTTTTGTTATTTAATAAATAATTATTAAGTCTCTCCAAACCAAATACCAAATAAGTATCTTTTTCAGTCATTCTAAGTTTTTCCACAGGAGTTTATTATAAAATGACCCATTTTCCCATGAATTAGCTTCCTTTCTATATCTATTACGTAAATATCTTGCATAATATATTTATTTCACATATGCTCATATTTAACTGATATTTCGTTATTTCTAACGTTGTTTTCTTGTTTGGGACATTCAATAATGATGATTATCGACTTTTCTTTCAAGATTATAACCATGTTAAAACCGCTATTATTTGGTTTTTTGGGAACGGATAAATAAATAATCAACAAGATTCTCAAAAGTTTTATTAGGAGGAAATTCTATTTCATTGTGACAATATGCGATTCCTTACATATGGGAGCTTTGCTATTAAAAATGGATTCCGGGAACTTTTAACAAAAAATGAGATTTTTGATTCATATTATAGTATACTAAATGAACTTTATTTGGTTAAATT